TACTGACAGACTGGGAAGAGAGGAGCCGCAACAATGGAGAATATGAGGAAAATAATCAACATTCAAGCAGGAAAACCTGTTCTAAAACAACATCAAGAATTTAAAAAAGGGCATAATAAGTCATTTTTACTGTTAGGAATATTCCAGCTGCTTAAATGATGAAACCAATCAGCTCTAGATCCTCTGATGTCATCATCTGCTCATTCTGTCAGTAAAAGCTCACTAATTCTTCATCGTCCTCTTTGTTTCTTGCTAGAAATTTGGGAGTGTGACGGTGAAGCATTTGGAGATGCTGCGGTGCCGCCACCGTGTCCAGGTCCTGCAGGCTCACGAAGACACCACCAAAGACAATGCAGTGAGACTTCCATTCGCCTCCAGTCTCTCTCTCAAATGCTTCTGCACGTGTTTTTATTGCGGGTGAATTTTTGTGGTGTGTTTTCAGTTGCGATTGGTCACCCCAGACGTGTCACTGTCACAGGAAAACCTGTCTGAGCTCTACGACCTCTTCAAGGTGTGTGTGATCACATTTATTGAGTCTGAGTAGAATTAAATATGTTTTCATCTTTAGTAGTCTCTCAAAACTTACATTACTTCAAACTTTCTGATTGTATATACAGTAGTGTGGCCAAATGTGACTTCCGGAGCGGGTATTTGTTTTTACTGTTTTATTGAAGTTCATTAAACCATCAAATTATGAGAACAAAAAAAATTTTTTATATATATATATATATATATATATATATATATATATATATATATATATATATAATTTTTATATATATATATATAAAACATTTTTATATTTATATATATATATATATATATATATATATATATATATATATATATATATATATATATATAAAATATGAGGGAAGAACAAAACACTAAACTTGGTTAAGGTATTTATCTAGCAAAATAGTCAAACTAAAGGTACAGATTTTATTTTACTATGCATAAAAATGGAAAAATCATACATTGACTACAACATAATCTGTTATTAATATTTTTTTTATTCTCTTGTACATAATTTCTTTGAGTGACAGCCTGGATAAAAATTACGTCGGCGCAATTTGTCATGTTCCATTGCGTTATTATCACTAATAAAACAATCGACTCCAAGCACAACTACACAATATGACTACAAAATCTTTAACACGTTTCTAATAATATTTAAATAAAGGGTTCATAGGCCGGACTATGGAAGCTTGTTTCCGCCACAGAATGAAAAATAAAAAAGGTAATTGCGACCTTTTATCTCACAATTCTGACTTTTTTTCTCACAATTGCGAGTTTACATCTCGCAATTCTGACTTTATATCTCAGAATTGTGAGATATAAAGTCAGAATTTGCGTGATATAGGTCGCAATTGCGTGTTATAAAGTCAGAATTGCGAGATATAAAGTCAGAATTTAATAAAATAAAGTCGCAATTGCGTAAAATAGTCACAATTGCGAGATATAAAGTCGAAATTGCGTGTTGTATAGTTAGAATTGTGAGGTATAAACTATTCTGAGAGGAAAAAAGTTAGTCTTTTATTTTTCCTTAGAATTGGCCTGATAACTCGCAATTGCGAGTTTATATCTCACAATTCTGAGAAAAGATGTCAGAATTTAGAGACATAAACTCGCAATTATGTGTTATAAAGTCAGAATTGCGAGATGTAAACTCGCAATTGTGAGAAAAAGTCAAAATTCTGTATTTTTTTCTCACAATTGCGACTTTATTTCTCAGAATTGCGACTTTATATCTCGCAATTGCGACTTTATTTTTCAGAATTGCAACTTTATATCTCAGAATTGCGACTTTATATTTCAGAATTGCGACTTTATATCTCGCAATTGCGACTTTATTTTTCAGAATTGCGACTTTATATCTCAGAATTGCAACTTTATATTTCAGAATTGCGACTTTATATTTCGCAATTGCGACTTTATTTTTCAGAATTGCGACTTTATATCTCAGAATTGCGACTTAATTTCTCAGAATTGCAACTTTATATCTCAGAATTGCGACTTTATATTTCAGAATTGCGACTTTATATTTCGCAATTGCGACTTTATTTTTCAGAATTGCGACTTTATATCTCAGAATTGCGACTTAATTTCTCAGAATTGCAACTTTATATCTCAGAATTGCGACTTTATATTTCAGAATTGCGACTTTATATCTCGCAATTGCGACTTTATTTTTCAGAATTGCGACTTTATATCTCAGTATTGCAACTTTATATTTCAGAATTGCGACTTTATATCTCGCAATTGCGACTTTATTTTTCAGAATTGCGACTTTATATCTCAGTATTGCAACTTTATATTTTAGAATTGCGACTTTATATGTCAGAATTGCGACTTTATATTTCAGAATTGCGACTTTATATCTCGCAATTGCGACTTTATTTTTCAGAATTGCGACTTTATATCTCGCAATTGCGACTTTATTTTTCAGAATTGCGACTTTATATCTCAGAATTGCGACTTTATATCTCAGAATTGCGACTTTATATCTCAGAATTGCGACTTAATTTCTCAGAATTGCAACTTTATATCTCAGAATTGCGACTTTATATTTCAGAATTGCGACTTTATATTTCGCAATTGCGACTTTATTTTTCAGAATTGCGACTTTATATCTCAGAATTGCGACTTAATTTCTCAGAATTGCAACTTTATATCTCAGAATTGCGACTTTATATTTCAGAATTGCGACTTTATATCTCGCAATTGCGACTTTATTTTTCAGAATTGCGACTTTATATCTCAGTATTGCAACTTTATATTTCAGAATTGCGACTTTATATCTCGCAATTGCGACTTTATTTTTCAGAATTGCGACTTTATATCTCAGAATTGCGACTTAATTTCTCAGAATTGCAACTTTATATCTCAGAATTGCGACTTTATATTTCTTAATTGCGACTTTATATTTCGCAATTGCGACTTTATTTTTCAGAATTGCGACTTTATATCTCAGAATTGCGACTTAATTTCTCAGAATTGCAACTTTATATCTCAGAATTGCGACTTTATATTTCAGAATTGCGACTTTATATCTCGCAATTGCGACTTTATTTTTCAGAATTGCGACTTTATATCTCAGTATTGCAACTTTATATTTCAGAATTGCTACTTTATATCTCGCAATTGCGACTTTATTTTTCAGAATTGCGACTTTATATCTCAGTATTGCAACTTTATATTTCAGAATTGCGACTTTATATGTCAGAATTGCGACTTTATATTTCAGAATTGCGACTTTATATCTCGCAATTGCGACTTTATTTTTCAGAATTGCGACTTTATATCTCGCAATTGCGACTTTATTTTTCAGAATTGCGACTTTATATCTCAGAATTGCGACTTTATATCTCAGAATTGCGACTTAATTTCTCAGAATTGCAACTTTATATCTCAGAATTGCGACTTTATATTTCAGAATTGCGACTTTATATTTCGCAATTGCGACTTTATTTTTCAGAATTGCGACTTTATATCTCAGAATTGCGACTTAATTTCTCAGAATTGCAACTTTATATCTCAGAATTGCGACTTTATATTTCAGAATTGCGACTTTATATCTCGCAATTGCGACTTTATTTTTCAGAATTGCGACTTTATATCTCAGTATTGCAACTTTATATTTCAGAATTGCGACTTTATATCTCGCAATTGCGACTTTATTTTTCAGAATTGCGACTTTATATCTCAGAATTGCGACTTTATATCTCAGAATTGCGACTTTATTTTTAGAATTGCGACGTTATATCTCAGAATTGCGACTTTATATTTCAGAATTGCTACTTTATATCTCGCAATTGCGACTTTATTTCTCAGAATTGCGACTATATCTCGCAATTGCGACTTTATTTTTCAGAATTGCGACTTTATATCTCAGAATTGCGACTTTATATCTCAGAATTGCAACTTTTTATCTCAGAATTGCGACTTTATATCTCAGAATTGCGACATTATATTTCGCAATTGCGACTTTATTTCTCAGAATTGCGACTTTATTTCTCTCAATTCTAACTTCATATCTCGCAATTGTGAGATAAAAAGTCGCAATTATTATTATTTTTTTTTAATTCAGTGGCTGAAACAAGCTTCCATACCGGACAGCACTTTTGGCCACTACTGTGTAACATTTTACTCCTACAAACATGGTGAAATGTATTTTCTTCTGTCTTTTCACAGCATTTTCTGATTTCTGGAGTGATAAAAAAAGAAATCCAGAATCCCATCTGTAAAAACCTTTATCTTTAATATGTCGACAAAATCAGGCGATTTTGAACCTGGCTTTTTACAATGTTCAGATTTTTGTTCTGGAAACCTATGCAAATTAATGCATATTTAATTAGAGAATTCCTCATTTGCATATTTAAACATAAATTGTGTAATACAAGACATGTTTGCAATTCTTAATGTAATCAATCAACTGAATTGTGAAGTGTGGTGATATCTGACTTTATATCTCACAATTGCGACTTTATTTCACGCAATTCTGACTTTATAACACGCAATCTGACTTTATAACACGCAATTCTGACTTTATAACGCAATTGCGACTTTATATCAATCAATTCTGACTTTATATCTCGCAATTGCGACTTTATATCAATCAATTCTGACTTTATATCTCGCAATTCTGGCTTTCTATCTTGCAATTCTGACTTTATATCTCGCAATTCTGAGAAATAAAGTTCGAATTGCGAGATGTAAACTCGCAATTATGAGAAAAAAATTCAGAATTGTGAGATAAAAAATCGCAATTACCTTTTTTATTTTTCATTCTGTGGCGGAAACAAGCTTCCATACTGGACAGATCAATACAGTACAAAGAACATAAAAAAAAAATTAGGATGTTGGAAAATAGCAATGTCTTTTCTATTAACCAAATGCTTTTTAATATTCGCTATTACTTCAATGCAAGTGAACAAGCGCCCTGTTATTTGTTGCGTAGTGACGTGTGTGTTCAAGTAAGCCAGAAATGAGTAGATTCTGCAATACGCTGTATTTAATATATCATGAGGACTCACGAATATTTGCACTAAATCAGTGCAGATTTGTCTTACACGAACTTCCCAGTAAAACATAATAAGTAACACGGCAAATTGGCTCGTGATTTGACAGCGTTTCCCGCCACTGCTGATTTTACACACATTTGGCTGGTGTTAATTTCAAACCCTGGTGATATCTATTAGTTAACATTGATTTTACCCTATTTACATGTAGCATCTTGCCATAGTTGATAACTGATTATGAATTGTGTGTTTCAGACAGAGCATTTCATCAGTCTGTACTGGGGTGACGGCGTGTGCAGTTCCTCTGGTGTTTCTCCTGCGATGGGCGTCTGTGCCGAACGCTACTTCGTGGACCGAGCTCAGTTTAAGAGCCTGTTTGAGCTGCTGACGCCCTGGATCTGTGGCACACACACCGATACTGTCGCCCAGCGCACCTTCACACTGCTGGACCAGGACAGAGACAACCTGTTAAACTTCTCTCAGTTCGTTCAGATGCTGGGTAGGACTGTGTGTGTGCGTGTGGCTTATTCACCCAAAACAGGTAAAACTCGAAAAATTAGAATATGGTGCAAAAGTTCATTTATTTCAGTAATTCAACTTAAAAGGTGAAACTAATATATTATATAGACTCATTACATGCAAAGTGAGATATTTCAAGCCTGTATTTGTTATAATTTTGATGATTATGTCTTACAGATATGAAAACCTTTTCACAATATTCTAATTTTGAATTTGGGGTTTTCATAAGCTGTAAGCCATAATCATCAAAATTATAACAAAAAAAGGCTTGAAATATCTCACTTTGCATGTAATGAGTCTATATAATATATTAGTTTCACCTTTTAAGTTGAATTACTGAAATAAATGAACTTTTGCACCATATTCAAATTTTTTGAGTTTCACCTGTATATATGTGACCCTGGACCACAAAAACTGAAAATGAGATTTATACATCACACAAAAGCTAAATAAATAAGCTTTTCATTGATGTGTGTTTGTTAGGATAGGGCAATATTTGGCTGAGATGCAACTATATGAAAATCTGGAATCTGACGGTGCTAAAAAAATCAAAACATTGAGAAAATCGCCTTTAAAGTTGTGCATTTGTGTTCGCGATTGTGCAGCATTCACTCACAAAAATAAAAGTTTTATATATTTACGGTAGAAAATGTACAAAATATCTTCATGGGAACATGATATTTACTTAATATCCTAAGGATTTTTGGCATAAAAGAAAAATGTATAATTTATACCCATACAATGTATTATTGCCACAAATAAAGCGGTGCGACTTATGACTGGTTTTGTGATCCAGGGTCTCAAATGCATTCTGTCCTCATTGCCTCGTGACTCTTTCTCTGCAGATGTCCTGTACTGTGAGGAGCTGAATGAGAAGATCAGGCTCCTGTATCGACTGCACATCCCACCAGGTTCATCACTACTGACTGTTTCAGGCCGGCGTCATTGACTCTAACACTGGATTAATGCACACTGCAAAAAATAGTTATCTTAATTATTATTATGGTCTTGTTTTCCAGTACAAGTGAATCAACTAGAGGGGCAAACAGACTTTATTAAGTCCTTTTCCTGCTTGAATGTTGATTATTTTTTCCTCTCTTCCCAGTCTGTCAGTAATGCTCTGTTTACTTCCTGTCTCTATGAAGCCCCTCCTTCTGAAAAGCACACTGTGCTCTGATTGGTCGGCTGGATCAGTGTGTTGTGATTGGTCGAGCGCTTCGAGTGTGTTTGGGAAATGTCCCGCCCCTCACCATAACCACCAGTTTAACACACTACTAACTCACTCAACCAGGCCCCGCCCCTTTATTCTGCGCATTAATTATTATAATGAGGAATATTGTGACGTGTTCGTTCCCGGAAGAAACTCAAGACTACAATGGAGGCGTTTCAGGAGTTCAGGACTTTTTCTTTGTCTCTTTTTCTTTGAGCTTTTCATGCTCAAACAGCAACATTACACACTTTAAGAAAGAAGAACATGGAAAAAAGCATAATAGGGCGTTTTTAATATATTATATTAAGACTTGTTTTCTTAATGTATCAAAATGAAGCAAGTTTCTTTGCTTAAATCAAGAAAAAATATATTCTAATGGGGGTCAGAAAACAAACATTTCTGCCCTCATATTTGTTCTTGTTTTAAGCAAAAACTTTTTTATTATTATTAATATCTTCAGTCAATTTGCTTCTCCAGTAAAAGTATCTTGATTTAAGAATGTTTAGATATTTGCACTGGAAAACAAGACGTAAATACTGAGGAAGAACATCATTTTTGCAGTGCATTAATTTCAAATCAATTCACCTTTATTTCTATAGCGCTTTACACAATAGAGTCATTATTCAAGTTTAGCTCTCATCTGATAGTGTCAGTGCAGTCAAACTGATCATATTTCAGATTATGAATAGTCTTTTAAACCCCCCAGTGTCCCATCTTGAAGTGGTAGCAGTGACTTGTCATTAGCATGATTAGCGGTGGACATCGAGAGCTCATGATTGTGACGTTTCCTTCACAGCGTTGAGTGAGAATGCAGAAGACTCGTCTCCTCTGAGTCCAGTCCTGTCCAGCACCAGACCTCTCTATGTTAACCTCCCCAACGGTAGGCGTCGCTACAGTGTGTTAGTCGTGTTTTCAGCTCAATGCACCTGTGATGATGTTTGATCATGTGTTTGCAGGTGAGAGTAAGAGTTATGAAGAGCAGCTGCGGCAGATGCTTCAGGACTTGAGCAAAGACAAGGATGAGGAGAAGCCTCTTCCTCACATGAACCAGGTGAAACTTCATCTCATGCATTAACATTAATATAAGTCCATAAACCTGTGTATGTTTAGGATATTTAGTCACAAAACTCATCAGAAACCAAACTCGCTCATGTACACGCAGGGCCGTCGCCAGAACATATAGAATGGGGGGGCATTTCATTTTCATGGGGGGGGGCACACTTTTTATGATCTACAAAACAGACAGTCACAAAAACAATAACATCCCCTATTTGGTCTAATATAACTGAAATAGACCAAATTCTATATTTAAACAACACCAAAACACAAAACATTAAGTTTCTGATCATAGGCGGAGGGTGAACCAACACCATGAGGATATGCGCTTCCCCTTTAAAAACATTTACTAGGCTATATGCAGGATTTGACATGGCAGAAAGCTCTCAAAGAGCGCCTATTTTATTATATTAAAAAAGCGGTTATATAACTTCATCGCGATCTCACAAAGTTCCTAGGCTATCAGTAAAGCTGATACACAATAATGCCTTATTTACATAGCCTAACTGCTTATTATAACGAGAGGATTTGCACGCGCGTAGAACTAATCCACTCACCGCTCAAAACACCGGAGTTTCGCCAATATTCTTTTATTACGGAGAAAACTGATCCTAGACCAGCATTTATGGACAGCTTTTCCCTCTAAAAGCAATCAGAAGTATATGGAAGCTTGTTTTCGCCACGGAATAAAAAAAATTAAAAGATAATTGCGACTTTTTATCTCACAATTCTCACATGGATTTCTCTCAATTCAGAGTTTTTCTCACAATTCTGACTTTATAACACGCAAATGTGACTGTATGTATATCACTCAACTCTGACTTTATAACTTGCCATTTTGATATTATATCACGCAATTCTGAGAAAAAATACCTTTTTTTACGTGGAAACAGTAGGCTGTTTTTAGCAGACAAATGAATCAGAAAATTCGACAAGCCCGCTTGACCAGGGGAAGGTAAGCCTTGCGCAGAGCCTTACACGCTCCGACTAATTTTCATATTTCTGAAGACAAAGTGTTTTTTAAAGTTACAGAGATTAGTGCACCTGTGTGCTAAATGCTGCTGACGACATTTCGTTATGGAATACGTGGATACGTTTTTTTGCTCTCAATAGTAAGTTTGCTCAATGATCATATGATTAGGGGGGCACGTTGTGTCATCTGGGGGGGCACGGCCCCCTAATGCCCCCCCTTGGCGACGGGCCTGTGTACACGGGATGGTCCTCTCTGTGATTGGCTGCGTTTTGTTGTGTTTCATCTCAAGTCATGTCAGCTTTATTTCACAGCGCTTTATACAATACACATTATTTCACTGTAATAAACATAAAAATACCAGAATCAATGATGCAAACTTCATCAAATGAAGTTTGTCAGATAACGTCCATAATATTTGGACTTTGGGTTCGATCTTTTGACCGTTTTCAGTGGTTATGAGGAGCAATATGAGAGAGAAATTTGGAAATCATTGTTTAGGTACATTAAACCACGTCATATTGTCAACATGGTAGCCTACTTATGAAGCAGAAAAGTGGGTCATATGTCTAATGCTTTTTAAAAACTTAAAGGGTTCACCCAAAAATGAAAATGATGTCATTAATGACTCTCCCTCGTGTCGCTCCAAGCCCGTCAGACCTCCGTTCATCTTCGGGACACAGTTTAAGATATTTTAGATTTAGTCCGAGAGCTTTCTGTCCCTCCATTGTAAATGTGTGTACGGTATACTGTCCTTGTCCAGAAAGGAAATAAAGACATCATCAAAGTAGTCCATGGGACATCAGTGGGTTAGTTAGAGTGTGTTGAAGCATCGAAAATACATTTTGCTCCAAAAATAACAAAAACTAGGACTTTATTCAGCATTGTATTGTGTTCCGGTTCTGTTGTGGATCCGCGTTCAGTGCCGCCGCTGACGTAAGCGTATTCATTATAATACAGAATTGTATCGCTTCGGTGTAACCGCGATTATCTAATAACTCAAGTCTCTTGTTGTGTGTGCTTTGTCTCATCAGCGGGAGTTCATCCAGTTTTGTAAGACGCTGTACAGCATGTTTCAAGGCGAGCCGTGTGAGGCCGAGCTCTTCCAGGCCATCGGGATGGTCACCAGTCTCGTCCTGCAGATCGGGGAGGCTGGGAACCACGCGGAGGACGCCTCGAGAGACTCGGACGCCCACTGGTCCGTCAGCTTCGAGCAGATCCTGGCCTCTTTGCTGACCGAGCAAGTTCTGGTCAACTTCCTGGAGCGGCCCGTCGACCTGAGCGCAAACATCGCGTCTGCGAAGCCACGGCAGTATCAGGAGCGCGCCGGGCTGCTCATGATCCAGCATGCAACGGGAAGCTGACGAGGTCCAGGCGACGCTTTCACGGGTGCCTTGATGTCGGACCAAACCCACATGTCTCGTTTTCTAAACATTCTTAAATCAAGAGACATTTACTGGAGAACAAGCGAAATGACTCGAGATATTAATGAGAATGTGTCAAAATGAAGTGAGTTTATGGTTAAAACAAGAATAAATATCTGACAACGGGGTCAGAAAAATAAATAAGTTGATTTTTCTGACACCATTAGTAGATATTTGTTCTTGTTTAAACTCACTTCATTTGACATTTTTCAGAAAACACGACTTCACCCAAAAATGAAAATAATGTAATTATTTACTGTTCTGAACCTGCATGAAGTTTTAAACGAAAGTTGGTAATCACAGTTTCTGGTCCCTATTGACTTCCATAGTATTATTATTTTTTTCCTATATGGGGACCAGCAACTGTTTGAATACCAACAATCTTCACAATATCTTCCTTTATATTCAACAGAAAGAAAATTTCATGCAGGTTTAGAAAAGTAAATACAGGAGAAACTCGAAAAAATTAGAATATGGTGCAAAAGTTCATTTATTTCAGTAATTCAACTTAAAAGGTGAAACTAATATATTATATAGACTCATTACATGCAAAGTGAGATATTTCAAGCCTTTATTTGTTATAATGTTGATGATTATGGCTTACAGCTTATGAAAACCCCAAATTCAAAATTAGAATATTGTGAAAAGGTTTTCATATCTGTAATCCATAATCATCACAATGCTTGAAATATCTCACTTTGCATGTAATGAGTCTATATAATATATTAGTTTCACCTTTTAAGTTGAATTACTGAAATAAATGAACTTTTGCACCATATTCTAATTTTTCGAGTTTCACCTGTAATTACATTATTTTCATTTTTGGGTGAACTGTCATTTTGCTTGTCTAGTAAATGTATCTTGATTTAAGAGTGTGTAGATATTTCTGGAAACCAAAGCAAAAGGCATGTTTTTGCAGTGTGGCGTGTCTAAAATCCCATGATGCCGCAGGGGTGAGCTGGACTCCCCTCGCTGAATGCTTTAACGCCGGACGTCGTGAACCGAAGCCTCGTGCAGCTGGGCCACATTTATCCCAGTGTTTTACTTTCATATTCCTCAGTACAGCTTTACAATTAAGGTTTCATTTGTGAACATTACTTGAACACATTTATTAATCTTAGTTAACATTAATCTCAACATTTACTACATATCTGTGACTCAAGTTAATGCACTGTTAACTAACATTAACAATGGTTAATAAATGCGGTAATATACAGGTGCAACTCGAAAAATAAGAATATCGTGCGAAAGTTTGCATTTATTTCAGTAATTCAACTTAAAAGGTGAAACTAATATATTATATAGACTCATTACATGCAAAGTGAGATATTTCAAGCCTTTATTTGTTATAATTGTGATGATTATGGCTTACAGCTTATGAAAACCCCAAATTCAAAATTAGAATATTGTGAAAAGGTTTTCTAATCATCATAATTATAACAAAGAAAGGCTTGAAATATCTCAATTTGCATGTAATGAGTCTATATAATATATTAGTTTCACCTTTTAAGTTGAATTACTGAAATAAATGAACTTTTGCACCATATTCACATTTTTCGAGTTTCTCCTGTATATTGCTCGTTGTTAGTTTATGGAAGTTAACGGTAACAAATGAGACTTTTTTTGGAAAGTGTTCAGTCTGATGGGATTGTTTACATGTTACTGACTGTATAAATGAGTCTCACATGAAGGAAATATTGATCATTATGATTATTTGACCCGTTCCAGCAGCTGAATGATGTTGAACGTCAGATGATTATATCTGATTAAAGCTCTAATGCTGCAGCGTTCAGCGTGTTTTAATCATTTTCATTAAAATGTATAAGTTTTTTTTTTTTTTAAGGAAATATATTGCAAGATCAATATCACGCATTTATAAAATGGATAGTGAATTTTCATTTAATGCCTACTTTAATAAATTAAATTTTCATTTAATGTTGATTCTATAGGAATATTCCAGTTTAAGTTCAACACCATTTGAGGCCATGATGCCAATTTTGACACTTTTAAATTAAGGTTTTGGTAAAATTTTGTATAATTTAAAAAGCTGACATGCAATGCTTATAATTTATACTTTAATTATTCTGTTAAAACTTAACAAGAGACATACTTTTTTTCCCAATAATATTAAAACACATGATGTGCATTTTAACATTTGCAGATTCACTTCCATTGCAAGCGTTTTCACTGCAACCCAGATTTTGTGAAAATTAATGTGTTGTAATTAACATGCCACAAATGCTCAGTAATTTTATATTTATTATTTGAAATATATATGCAAAGTGTATAAGCTGACTGTCTGAACAAACGGATCCGGTCTTTGGTGCATGTATTGTATATGTTTTTCTTCCATCCATGAAACGCGCTGCGGCTCTCAGATGTATAAAGTGCCTTAAAAACAAACAGTCATGTGACCGATCCTCAGTTTTATCGTGCCACAGGAAACATTCATGCATTGTGAAATCCAAAGGGACCATGTTTAACTCTTCAGATGCTGATAAGTTTATCCAAATGAAGCATTAGTTTCCACTTCTGAAAGCAGTTTAATGATCAAATCACATGTTGTGATTGTGACTGAAGATCTGAGCAACTCTTCACATAAGATGGAAACTTGTAGCATTAGATGATTTTCTAGGTTGGAGGAACCAATCAGATTGTCTGAAAAACTTTGCCAAACTCTCTCTGCACAATCTCACCTCAAGCCTTTCTGAATAATCAGCTTTCAGTGAAGATGTTTACATATGCATGTTGTCCTGCTGATTATGTCAATATCTGCACATGCACAAATAAATCATCCACAACACAAATCCTTTTATGTTTTTATTCCAACAGACATGAAGAGAAAATTAATTTTCATCCACATTTACAGTCTGAAGACCTGCGAACACACACAAAGCACAAAGTTTTTAAAGATATAAGTATAATGATTGTCAGTGAATGCACTTCAGATATCATGTGTGACCGTACAGGAGTCGCTCACCTTTGTACGTGGTGACGGGGACGTACGTGACGAGGGTGTACAGCTTGTTTGGGGAATCTTCATCTTCGTTGCGTTTCCTGGACAGACGCACACGCATGCGGTACGGCACGTTCCTGACAAACACAACACGTTAACATTAAGCATCAAATGCGTAATTGTGAATGTCTAAAATGCCTCCGCTTTGGGGTGTGTGTAGCGAGTGTGTGTAATCTATGTTTGTGTCGACACACTGGAAATATAATCAAGTTGATGCGCCTCTTGATGGAAATAAATGTGATTTCCATCAGTTTTTGCTCGAGATCTTGTATTGAGAACGCAAGAGTCCAGTTTCAGTGAATTTAAAAGGGGTGGACAACACAGCTGACACGGGTAAACACACGTGCTAGAAGAGTTAAGTCCGCCTTAATATTCTGGTCCTTAACAAGCAGTATCTCTGGTCGTAATCAGTCCTTCACTGACCAATCAGCGTCCATTAGCAGAATGCTAGCGTGTTATGGGCAACAACAACTCAACCCGTAAGAAATCGAAAGGACATAAGTACTCGTTCATTCAACTTTCGACCTATAACCCATGTTGAACTTGCAAAACTTACAATCAAATCTGAGATTTCTCAACGGCAATCGGGTGAAAGAGACAAATTTAGCCGTCTAGCTCCATAGACTCCCATTCATTTTGCACTCGGACGATCGCCCCCAGTGGAACTCTGGTGGAACTACAACCAAAATTCAGTACAATAGGACTTAAAGGGGTTGTTCAATATTTTGGACATCGGGCCTCATTTCCAAGTTAGCCTTAGTGTTATTTATCCAGTCGTTCCAGTTGCATAGTTCGCCGGTGCTAGGCTAGCGCGAGTCAACGGTAACTGCTAGCCTGCCATTAAACACAGTTTTACCCACTCCACAGTACAGCAAAAGCGAATCAATTATAACGCCAGACTATCGATGTAAATGTCTTCTTTTTTCTTGTGTGACCAAAACGGTTATAAAAATGCTGTCATTATAAAAGGTTTCTATTGTCAATGTATTGCTTGTTTTTTGGGAAGCGTCCTCAACAGGGCGGCCAGAGCTTCTTTGCAGTTAAACATTTGCCTATTTAAATCTAAACAGACATGTCTTCTTATGGCCAGTGTGTATAACAACAACTGCAAAGCATACCATGTATAAATAATATGATTTACGCACTAAATCCAGCATAACCTCCTGCACAACCTGCATATTTTTAACTATTCAAGATGTCATTCCCTGAACCTCACAGCGATTGGCTGCCGCACGCATTTTTCTCTAGATATTTGCATAAAGTCCCTCGATTGGCTGCCGTCTGTGTTTTTTGCTTTGCATTTGCATAAAGTCCCCAGTCTTTCGACGCTCTCAATCCCACAATTCACCACGCGAGCATGAAACTCAACGTCCATAGGATTTAACTGAACACGCTCGCTCTGTTCTGTGCCAGTTTACACTAGTGTTGTCAAAAAACTCGGTACTTCGGTACCAAGTCGGTACTAAAAAAAATTAACTGTTACGGTACCAGTTTTTCTAGGTTGTCCACTTGTTGACAAGAAAGGAGGAAAGAGCCACATATGGAAATATGTTGAATTAGGCTAATGTCACGTTGCCATAAAGGGCCGTTCACATAGCACGTTTTTTGCGTGTGCAAATTTCAAATGTGGGCGCGCGGGAAGCGCGCTCATAATAGAAGCGACGTGCGAGCTTGTTTTTCCAGGCGCGTCACTGTTTATGGTTGCATAGCGGAGACACGCGAGAGCGAGCGCTTGTGGAGAGAAGGAGAAAGCGGTGCAAACTGCGCTCTCCGTGATGACGAGGAAGTATCAGCAAAGAATTAATTGATTTCTAGCCCTTGCATTAGACATCAGCTACAGGGTTCTCAAGTTTTGAAGACAGGCAAGAGTGACATTTTTGGCAGTTTTGGATTAAATAAAAGTAGGCTACAGTTAAGTCAAATAAAACATGTTTTATCTCCTGTATAGTTTGGTAACACTACAATAAGAAGATACCATTCATTAACATTACTTGATGTGTTAACATCAACACATTGAGTGAACAATATATTTTTACAACATTAATTAATGTTTGTGAATGTTATTTAATACAAACACTTGATTGTTCATGTTTGTTCACTTCATTCATTGTGCATTAAATAATGTTAACAGATAAAACTTTTGATTTTAAAAATGTATTTAGTATATTTTTAAATTAACCCCAAGGAGAATAATTGTATATAACCAGGGTTTCTGCAGGTTTCACAAAGTCAAATTTAAGACTTTTTAAGACCTTTTTAAGACCATTATGAATTAAATTTAAGACCTATATCATGACATTAAAAAAAAACGTACAAAGGAAACGCAGAGTCTCAAAATTACTTGCAAAGTAAATTAATTTATTCAAATTGAACAGTACTGAAGACAGCTTAGATGGATGCACAAAGCTGATTGGCTGTTGCATGTTGGTCTATTTTGTAGTCTTAATTAAAGTGAATTATATTTGGACTAGTGAAATAAGGAACTATAACACCACGCAATAAAAAAACAAACTTTCCAAAGCGCTGCGGGAGGATGTAGGAAAATTAAGACCTGTTTAAAATTATTTAAGACCTAGAACACAATACTTCAGCAAATTTAAGACTTTTTAAGGCCTTAAATTGTGATTTTGAAATTTTAGACTTTTTTTTAGACTTTTTAAGACCCCGCGGAAACCCTGATAACTATGGTTTATTGTTAGGTCATTTTATCTAATGTTATCTAAATATAATCTTATTGTAAAGTGTTTTTAATACTACAGTTTCCATCTTTGTAACTGTGATATACACTTTAATATACCGTATTTTCCGCACTATAAGGCGCACTTAAAAGCCTTTAATTTTCTCAAAAAACGTCAGTGCGCCTTATAATGCGGAGCGGCTTATATATGGATTACTTTATATATAGTACTTTATATATAGTACTTTATATAAAGGTAACTAAGCAACAGTGGAGACTCAGACTGTCAGCCGATGACGGTGCTGTGTGGTGTTCTCTATGTGAGAATATCAGCTCAAATGGATAGTTCGGATTCGGATAGTTCATCCGAATCAGATGTTGAACACGTGGAGGAGGTTTGATCGCGCGCGCGCGAACTCGACAATCAACTACTGTGGACTTCGGCCGAAAACAGGAAGTAAATACGGGTATATGAGCTGGCTGAATAAAGAGATTATTCCTGCCTGCAGCCTTCGTGAAAGCTCGGATCACAGGAGACTGATATATCAGCCCAGGCATCCACGATCCATTGCCAGATAGTGGCGTAAGTCGGCCGGCGCTGTCTCCGCGTCTTGGTGAACGTGTGTGCGTCTTGGTGAACGCCATCAAACCTCCTCCACGTGTTCAACATCTGATTCGGATGAACTATCCGAATCCGAACTATCCATTTGAGCTGATATTCTCACATAGAGAACACCACACAGCACCGTCATCGGCTGACAGTCTGAGTCTCCACTGTTGCTTAGTTACCAATGATCGCGCACGCGCACTCGACAATCGCCTACTGTGGACTTCGACCGAAAACAGGAAGAAAATACGAGTATGTGAGCTGGCTGAATAAACATCATTTTTATTCATATCTTTCACATTTACTGGAGTCAGATTCACCGTGTTCACTCGCATGGCTGTGCACTTGTAATGACACATTAAGGTTGTTAAGAGGCTAAAAGCAGGTTTAAAACTTTTCCCGTTTAAGTCAACAGGGTGCAAATTTTAAAAAGAGGATAACACGGTGTAGGCAACACCGGTTTTTGTCGTTGTTATCTGTACTGACAGCACTCCAAATTTACCAAAAATGAGCTCAATGTTAAAATTGACCGGAGTTTTCCTTCAACGTTTGAACAACGTTACCATGGGAGTGAACGGAGTTGTCAGAACGCTTAATAAAGTTTGACTTTATCTGACTGTTTTGTTGACATTTGTTGACATCTAGTGGATGCATAACGCAAACGCAGTCAAACGTTTGACTGCAGTATCTTATGCGCCTTATAATCCGGTGCGCCCTATATATGAAAAATGTTCTAAAATAGGTCATTCATTGAAGGTGCGCCTTATAATCCGGTGCGCCGTATAGTGCGGAAAATACGGTATGTAAATTTGATCTAAATTAAGCTTTGGTACCGAAATTGGTACTGAGAACCGTGGATTTTCACTGGTATTGGTACCGAATACTGAAATTTTGGTACCGTGACAACACTAGTTTACACGCATAATAACAGCAGAGCGTGAAAAAGTTCGGGCGGTTTTTGACTTTATGCAAATATCAAGTGAGAAACGCAGGCGGCAGCCAATCACTGTGAGGTTATGGTCGTGACATCTGTTTTTAGAGTTTTAGTGTCAGTACTACATTAAAGTACTATATATAATGTTGAATATGATGTATAATAATGCAATGGGGAATATCTGTGGGTCCTGATAATGCCAAATGTCTGATGTTACCAGTAAAAAGTGTCCTACATTATTTTAAATACATCTAATCAGAGTGAAATCATATTAAATCTTAATTCAGTATTTTCAGCTTCAGAATCATGAATATTGTTTTTCTGGTGTCTCTATTGTCCTGTGCTTTGGGTTTCCAGCACCAAGTCCAAGCCTATTCATTTACACCCATAATGTAATATCAAAGTTAGCATTTTAATCAACAGTAAATGTTTTGTTAACCTTTTATCATACGTCTTTGAGTATCGCAATAATATCGTATCGTGATATGTGTCGAATCGTGACATGAGGGTCTCGTTACACCCCTAGTGTTAATCACACTGGATGATTTTCAGTTGTTATATTAAATATTACAGTTTGAAGCTTTCATTGCGAGTATACTGGCTGGCTTTACAAAACTTTTATAGATCTGACATCTTTACTCAGGTCAGGGGTGTCCGATCATGTTCCTGGAGATCTACCTTTCTACAAAGTCCAGCTCAAACTAGACTCAACTCAAAGCGAAGGCATTTTAGTGTTATTATCGGGAATGAGCAACAAAACCACCGAGACAGTCTCACCTGACACCTTTAGCCCACACGGCCTTGTTGAGACGGGTATCGATGCGAACATCAGGCGTGCCCATCTCCTTCACAGCGAACTTGCGGATCTCCTTCAGCGCTCGAGGAGCTCTCCTCTTGAACGAGCTGGAAGAGGAGCAGAAAGAGGTGTTAATACTCCAGTGCGAGTTACAGGTGAGCGTTTACTCACTCCAGGTGTGACTTACATGCCATGGATGCGCTTGTGGATGTTGATGGTGTATTCACGCGTCACAACCTCATTGATGGCGGAGCGGCCCTTCTTCTTCTCGCCCTTCTTGGGTGCCATCTACACACACACATTTAGATATATCAACAACACAATCACACACTGGATGCACCACTTCACAGGATACACGTCACTAATTAACCAAAACACACTAATAACAACCAATGCTGACTTTATTCCTCATTGTAAAACCCTGGAGAACTAGTACATACAGTTCTGAGACTTAACTCTGATTGGACGAGAGACACAACTGTATAATGTTGCAACTGTTAATAACACAATCACGAGCTAATGAACTACATAGTGCACGAATTGACTATGATTGTAAATATATGTAACTTTAATGACGGTATCATCACATTAAAACAGTCTACCCAGTGTAATTCTGCAGGTTTACCGCTTTATAATTTTTTCGTCTCTTCCTCTCACGGACGCGTTAGCATTAAGTCTTTAATCACTCACATCAGCGTCTTAAACACACCAAAACGCATCCCAGTGATTCATAATGTGTATGTACACTCAAATGTGACATTAAACGTAATTATTAGTGCTTAATTACGCGGATGATGCTGGATTTATAAACGATAAACGAGAGGAAGATACTCACTCTGTACGATGAATGTGGGAAAGGAAGAGCGGTGGATTATGGGACACATTCAAGGGGGAATGCACATTCACATCCGGGTCATTCTACTGTGTTGTGTTTTCTTGTTTTTTTTTTAATGACGTGTATATATATGAGTGAATATTATGGATATATTAATATAAAAACAGTTTTTATTTTTAGAACCCAGTTTGTGATTATTTTTTTTTTGGACGTTATATTTGTTTTCCGTATTTATTTTTTGAAACTGCATCTCCCATAAATCCGTTCGGTTCACACAGGAAGCGCTTACCGACAACCGCGACGGTTATGAGTGAGTAGAAGTGAAGAAGATTCAGATTATAGAATAGAAATAGTCTAATGATTAAAACATTAACCTGTCAAATCTCTCAGATAAGCGTTATATCGGCACTGGAGCGTCACCGCGTCTGGTTTTTTATTGAATATTCATGAGCTGACGGGACGGTATCAATGAGCTCCACTCAGGTAAATGTTGTTGTTACTGACTGTCACAAAATGTACCGAGTTCCCTAAATAGACAGCAGTTTGAGGAGTTTAGTAAGTTAAATAAAACTGCTTGTAGTATTTGAGGTTCGTCTGATGTGTTTCATCAAGCTGAGAAATCCAGTCATGTTGTGAAATAATTCGAATATTGTAACTGTACAATAAATGTATTAACTCCATAAAACCTTTGGTATCATATTTGTAGCACATTTCTAAGGCCTATAAATGATCAAAACCAGTCGCACACAGTCCTTCTGTCGTCTAATTAATAGTTTAAACTTCTTTAGCAAGTTAAAGGCTTTAAGTATAAGTTAATTGTACTACAAACGTCCTCCTTCAGCTTGTGCTTCACGTGTCATTAAATCTGCACTGATTTTATAAAGTAAACATTAGAATAACTTTGACATTTTTAGTAATATTTCAACGGTACTACTGACGCAACTTACAGTAGCCAACATTTGAAGTGGATCAAAAAAGTTCAACAAAGTTGTTCTAAGACAAGAACTGGTATTGATCCACTTCAAATGTTGATTTACTGAAGGGCTAATAACTTATCCAGACATCATTTATTAGGAAAATCATGAGTATATTATCAAATATGATCATTAGGCTTTTTAGGAAGTTTTGTTCATCTCTCAATCATTATTGAATTGCATTATATGTTTTAAAACTACAGAGCTTTGATCATAAAGCATTTAAATATCACCTGACTAAGACATATTATTGGCAGATATTGATATTCAATGCATTTTATGTATCTGCTACACTGTTGATTTACATTACAAGCATCAGAATTTCATCTTTTTGGCCATATAAATATCAGCATCTGCAACAAAATTGCATATTTTTGCTCAGTTTTAATCTCTAAATAAAACCGGTGTTTTTCCTCCATAGTCTCACTATATTATATTATATTGTATTATATTATATTATTTTATATGAGCCATAAAAGCCTGATGTATCTATGATTCTCAACAAAAAACACATTTATGTATTTGTGTTAGATTTTCTTTTATATTTTGTCTAAAGTTTTAATAAACTTCCGTTTAAAAAAGAAAATATGAAAAAAAATAGGCTTTACAGGATTAGACTTTACTTTCTGAATCAAACTCATGAAGTGTCTTAGATCCTTCCAATAGTAGATCTAGTAGCATAATTTAAAGTCACAAAAAAATAAGAAGTCAATTCGGATTTCTTAACGTAATATTGCAGTATTTTTTATAAATGATTAATCCGTGCACATCATTATTGTTTTAAATTGATGTTCCTGGTAATCTTGAATCAGAATAACTGTCACTCACATGAGATCAGCCAATAGCAAACCACAACCATCCAATCAAAATCAAGCCCCGCCCTACATTTATTCTTGTTTGAGAAGCGTTTCACTCGTGTATATACATCAGAATAGCAAAGAAAAGATGATTTTAAACTTCATTTCATGATGACTTCATCTATTGTTGTGTGTCTCTTTCTAGTCCTCCTGATCCAGTGGCCTGTGTGACCGAAGCATCATGACGCTGGCTCCTAAAGAGCTGTCGAACCTGCTGGGCATCATGTCGGAGGACGCCTGCAGCAACAGCTTCGAGCAGTTGTCCACCGCCTTCCACCACTGCTTCGGTAAAGCCGAGCACTTCCGTGTGGGTTCGGTTCTGGTGATGTTGCTGCAGCAGCCCGACCTGCTGCCCAGCGCCCCGCAGAGGCTCACGGCGCTGTACCTGCTGTGGGAGATGTACCGCACCGAGCCGCTGGCCGCTAACCCCTTCGCCGCGGTGTTCGCGCACCTGCTAAACCCATCGCCCGCAGGAGAGGAGCAGGAGAAACCGCTCTCAGGTGCGTCCTTCTCTTCTGGTTGTGTTTGTCTTGCATCATTAAAGGGATAGTTCACCCAAAAAAAAAAAAAAATGAGCGTAGGGATTAGGGCTGAGCGATTTTATCGATTCTGCGATATAAATCGATATTTTTTCTCCCAAGAAAGTATCGATTTTTAGGCCGCGAGTATCGATACATAAGTCCCATTCAAATCCCCCGTGTTAAACCCGTTCGCGTTGCATGAAGAGTGATTTGGTCAGCCAGCCGCTAGTGGCCAGCTGCACGCGTGCATCGATATTGACGAAAATCCAGCTGTATTCAAACAACAACTTAGCTCTCCTTGTTGGCTAGGCTCCTTGCATGCTGGCTAGTAGCTTTTTTTAAAGCTGGGTCTCCGAAATTGACAGCGCTGTGTTGGACAGATTTGTGCAGCGGTGTTCCGTGAGTGAGAAAGTGCGCGAGGTACGGATGAGTGTGTGTGTGTGTGTGTGAGAGAGAGAGAGAGAGAGAGAGAGCGAGAGCGAGGTAGTGCTGCGTGAATGCGCTGCGGCGCTCTGCAATCAAATACGATTTTAAATAGGCTTAGTAAAAAAAAAAAAAATGTAAAAAAAATCGTATTCGGTGGTGGAAAACGCCGGCTTTAGGCGCATGGTGAACGCGATGGAGCCCCGCTATCCTATTCCAACCCGCGAACACCTCATCAAGGTTTGCATTCCCAGGCTGTACACTCAGGCAAGAGCACACGTCAAAGCCTCCCTGGCCAGCGCGGAGAGAGTTTCCCTGACGTGCGACGGCTTGACCTCGCGCACAACTGAAGCACGTCACATGTTCAGTGTCAAGCTAAAAAAGCTGTCAAAGAAAAGGCAGTGCAAAGAAACTGTTCACAACAGGCCACTTGCTGCACCTTTTAACTCTCCATTGAAAAGTAAATAAAGTGCAGTATTGCAATTAACAAAGGCTTATAAGCTACAGTTTGCACTGTTGTCTTTCAATAAATAGAACTAATTTTCTCTACACATATTTGATTCATTTTGTCCAGCATTTGCAAGCTGTACTCTCTGCCCAGTCAGAGACATATATTGTGTAAATGATGTTTTCAGTTTTCAGTTCAATTAATTCAATCCAAGTAAATGGAAGACTCACAAGATGTCACCAAAATCACTCTGTCCCCTTTAAATCTTTCAGAAAATGATGTAAGTGTATCGAATTATATCGAATCGTATCGTTGGCTGAATATCGTGATATATATCGTATCGTCAGCCGAATATCGTGTATCGTATCGTATCGTGAGATTAGTGTATCGCTACAGCCCTAGTAGGGATGGCCAACGATTAATAGAGAGCCTAAGCCCCTCCCCTTCCGGTCCACCACCATGGGTCCTTATTTCGGAAAAATATTCTATGGTAGTCAATAGGGGTGTGACGAGACGCTTATCTCACGAGACGAGACACGAGATTGGGTTCACGAGAACGAGACGAGATTTTTGCACAATTTTTCAGAAATCCTCAATGACAAAATTCATGACTGGAAAAATAGTATGCAGGTGCATTTTGCAATGTTTAACTAATAATCTTATAAAGTAGACCTGAAATGACATGCATTATTAGTATGTATTATCAAATGCATTGAAAGAAAACAATATACAAGCACTGTAAAAGGTTTTTATTGACTGGCTTTTCTCCTGTTTGATTTCACATTAGTCTCTTCAGCCCTTACTGTACATTTTAAGAGCTGATTTCTGATTGAGGCTGTGTGTGACCTCCCAAACTCCTTGAAATCTTATTAAGCGCAAACAATAAGTGCAAGTGTACCATAATCAAAGTTAGCACACAGACTCTTTATAATTGTTTTGAAATTGCTGTTTTATTTTGCACCGGCGGTTATAGGGTTAATGCGGTGAGTTCGGAAAAGGTCGGGTAGAGAGAAACGAGGCTGGTGTGTTTGTCTCTACAGTTGTTCTTGTGTTCCGATTATAAGTTCAGAAACAGAGCCTCCCTTGTCTGTTGTCCTTAAGACATTACAGTAACGTTACTCTCTCAATATATTCGAAGTGCAAACTGAGATCATAGCCGCAAATAAACAGTCCAGAGATGGCTAGGAGGAGTAGGGTTGCCGCGGTGAGGAAAATTTCCCACCGGTTAATCGACGTGTCACAACACCGGTAATCCCGGTGTCACCGTGGGGGGCGGGGCGGGGGGGTTAAATAGCTTTTAAATGCGTGCGCGTTATACTTTCACTTTCGAAATAAGCGTCAATTGGCAATTCAGCGTCAATTGCTTGAATGGACAAAAAAACAACAACTCGGCTCGCTGATAATACAACTTTTATTTATAGACAGAACTTTTATTAGCATAACGAACGAATAAAAATAACCCCATGCATAGGCTGAAAATCGTCAAACTGTGGGCCCAAACAAATAAGAACCATAAAACGTTTATTAACGAATAAGAAAATAAAACAGGCCTAAATAAATTACACATTCCGCCATTATCTTGCTTTTCTGTAATTTGACTCGTTCTCATCTCCACACGTGCTAAATGGAATCCTGATGCTTGCTGATCTGTGACGTGACTGGCTCTTGGCACGCACTGCGCAGTTCAGTTTTTAATTATAATGTATGCTCTCTTCTGAACTAAATAATTGATAATTATTATTTTTAATTAATTCAAATAAATATTTTAGCAAAAACGAATACTTTAAAAAAGTCAAGACATCGCGGTGTCACGGTGGGAAAGTGATGTCACCGGTGATGGGGCTTAAAACCGGTAACACCGTCTATCGCGGCAAGCCTAATTAGGAGACGGACTATTGTATGTTCGCGGCCTAATTTGTGCGCAATGCACATCAGGGAGCTTCTGTTTTACTTTCACTTTCGTGATCGCGCGTACTCTGTGTATAGGGAGCAGCGGTGCTGAGCGTGCATTCTACAATAATACATTTATCAGGCGTTAGTCTATGTTGCGCAACGAATCCTCCGCCATCCTCACGCGATCAGTGAACTGTGATTCGTGCTGCACTGATTGCAACGGCAACTCGTGCTGGATGAGCAGAGCAGACTTTTACATTATTTTATAATGGTTTTTATTTTTTTTATAAAAACAGCAAGGCGAATGTGAGTGTAGCGGTGGAATATTCTATGGTAATCTCACCCTCACGCTCAGTCATGGCGATATCGCGAGACAGCTTTTCACTCGACGAGAAATCTCATCATGTTTTAGTCTCGCGAGATCTCGTGGCACCCCTAGAAGTCAATGGTGAGAGAGACAACAAATATTTTGATCTCGTTTGAACTGTGCCCTGAATTACACATAGGGGACCCTATTTTAACGATCTAAAACGCAAGTGTCAAGCGCAAAGTGCAAGTAACTTTGTGGGCGGGTCTTGGGCGCTGTTGCTATTTTCCCGGCGGGATAAATGCCTCTTGCGCCCGACGCAAATCTAAAAGGGGTTGGTCTGAAGTAGCTTCATTATTCATAGGTGTGGTTTGGGCGTAACGTGAAATAAACCAATCAGAGCGTCATCTCACATTCCCTTTAATAGCAGGCGCGCTTGTTCTAAAGCGGATTCCTATTATAACGGCGGATTTGCCAGGCGCGCGCCAGGAGCGGTTCATAGCCGAGGAGAGCAGCGTTCTCGTCAGGGCCGTAAAACACAGAGAAGTTACATTGGGGATGGAGAAACCCACCCAAATTAACTTCTGTTAAACAGGCCTATGATAATTTGGGTAAATGTGTAAGCTACATGTATGCTTTTATAATAAATTATCTATCTATCTATCTATCTATCGTAATAATGTATGATTTGCAAAAATGAAAACTGCTGCTTAGATGAGAGAATCAACGTGTATGCGCGTTGTGCAAACGCTACATTGATTATGGCCAAGCATGCGCCCTTAAAATAGCATAATGAACAACACGCAACACGCCACTGACTTTAGACTAGTTTTTTTCTGGTCAGTGGCGCAATTGTTTTATGGAACAGCAAAATAGCATGAGGGAAAGTTTGCGCCGGAACACGCCTCCTTTTTTGCGCTGAACCGCCCTGGGAGCGCAAGTTCATTTCCTAGTTTAGCGACGTGTGGGTGCATGCGTCAGTGTACAAAGTCAATTGCGCTGGGTGCAAGATAGGGCCCATGATGTTTGTCAATTTAAAAGATACATTTTAAAGTCAAGAAAGTCGCAGTTTGATGTAAAACTGTTGAGGTATAAGACTGAAAACACGTGATTACAAAGACTACAAACCCCAAAGGCGCACATTTTCTCTCAATGAATGAAGCTAACTTTACTGAAGCTAACTTTACTGAAGCTGACTTTACTGAAGCTAACTTTACTGAAGCTGACTTTACTGAAGCTAACTTTACTGAAGCTAACTTTACTGAAGCTAACCTTACTGAAGCTAACTTTATTGAAGCTAACTTTACTGAAGCTAACTTTACTGAAGCTAACTTTACTGAAGCCAACTTTACTGAAGCTAACTTTACTGAAGCTAACTTTACTGAAGCTAACCTTACTGAAGCTAACTTTACTTACTGAAGCTAACTTTACTTACTGAAGCTAACTTTACTGAAGCTAACTTTACTGAAGCTAACTTTACTGAAGCTAACTTTACTGAAGCCAACTTTACTGAAGCTAACTTTACTGAAGCTAACTTTACTGAAGCTAACCTTACTGAAGCTAACTTTACTTACTGAAGCTTACTTTACTGAAGCTAACTTTACTGAAGCTAACTTTACTGAAGCTAACCTTACTGAAGCTAACTTCTTTACTGAAGCTAACTTTACTGAAGCTAACTTTACTGAAGCTAACTTTACTGAAGCTAACCTTACTGAAGCTAACTTTACTGAAGCTAACTTTACTGTTGCTTACTTTACTGAAGCTAACTTTACTGAAGCTAACCTTACTGAAGCTAACCTTACTGAAGCTAACTTTACTGAAGCTAACCTTACTGAAGCTAACCTTACTGAAGCTAACCTTACTGAAGTTAACTTTACTGAAGCTAACTTTACTGAAGCTAACTTTACT